ACCACCACAAAGCACATTTTCAAACAAAGCAAGTGATCTAGCAAGCAATTAAGAGCCCATAGATAACTATGGATGAAAAGGGTGCTAATACCTTCCCTTTTCATAATCTACCCCCCGAACTCAAGAAATAATCTCAAAGGTCTTTCCTGTTCTTTTCCACCTTTCCTTTTGGATAAAAGAAAAGTCAGTGGCGACTCTTGATAACCGCAACATTTGCGATCAAACACAAAACATCCCAAGTCAGCTATCTCACTATATTACAATGGGTGTTAAGCTTAAGTTATAGTGGGGATTTCTTAGCCCCTTTTCTCCTTTATGATGTTGTTGATTGAATTAAGAGAGGTTTGTGCAAAACCTCCATGATTATATTGATTATGAATTCTAATTCATGTTGTTCATTCTAATTATATTGTTATTAATGTGAAACTCGTATAAATCTAAGCTATAAAAATTGATTGTGGATGTTCATATGTTATATGATGATTATGTGTGATAATAGATGCTTAAGTATGATTGTTACCATATGTTGATTAATTTCTACCACTTGCAGTTAGTATACCATGTTAGTAATTTGCCTATAACTTTAGTTACCTAAATCATTTAAGAATGAAACTGAGACTTTTAGAAACTAGACAAGATTTAGCACGAGATAGAATTCGATATGGATCAACTCTAATGTGGCAAAGGCTAGAAAACTGAATTGCAAGTTCAGTTAAAGTTTTGGAAATTCCGCACCACGGCTATTTGACATGTTGTTAGTAATTTGGACACATCTCACTCTACATAAGTACTCTGAGATTAAAACTTATATCATAAAAAAATAGAAAAAAATTTCTACATATTAGACTTAATAAGCATCTCATTTCACTAAGTTCAGTAGGAGAAATACTAGTTACAAGTCCGACGAAACATTTTTTCTAATGCATGTACTAGTTCCCATTGTTTAATTAAACTGTACCGATTTGGATCTTAAGTCCTAAAATTAGAATCATAGTCTTAAAATAGACTCACTGAGCTTTCCGAAACATATTCATTTGCTTGATTATGACTTTGTTTGATATTTTAAATAATTATTCAAATCTAAGGTATGACTAGCAGGAAACATAATTTTGGGGCTGTTTTGTTAAGATGCTATATGAATTAAGTTTTTACTAATGTTTTAGAACAAAAGTTCAATGGTCGATAATACATATAAGAGTTAAGTTTTTAAGGTTAGAATACAAGTTTTTATGTGTTGTATGTTTAGGTTTTAAATAACCAGTGTTAAGATGTTTATGTTCAGAAGAACCAATGACGTGGCCTTACACTAACAATTAATTGATTATGATGTGTTTAGGTTCGAAAGAACTAGTGATGTGTATGACTTATGTTCAGTGATGATGATTGGAGTTGAAGGATTATGGATGTATATTTGCATTAATTGTAACATTAATGTATCATGTATATCAAAGATAGGTAGGACTTCGGTCCAGTGGCGAGTAGGACTTCGATCCAGTGACGAGTATGACTTAGGTCTATTTACAGGTTGGATACATCAGTAACATACCTCAAATATCCAAAATATTGGCACCACATGCATATGAGTAGAAGAGATGAACATTGCATGTATAATTATCTATGTTATATGATTGTGTTATTGTGATTTAATTGTATATGATGATTATACTATCCTTGTTTTTTTAACACCGTTTGAATTGTGAAATGTATTCTCATCCCTTTCTTGTCTCTATGTTTCTACTTTTGTACTTTATATAGGTAATCCCCAGGTTAAGAGTGAGGAGTGATAGTTTTGGTTACCGGGGATGATGTAGTTGGTCTCTTCAATAGTTTTCTTTTGCTTACGTTTTGTTGTATCTTTTATCGGCTGTCTAATTTTGTATCTGATATCACTCTGATTTTGTAACATATAGTCGGGGATTTTCTATTTCATTAAGTTTTTTTGGACATATCACTTTGTTATATTTTATGATTATATGCTTTGACTTTAATTCCCATTTGAAATATTAATTGAAAGGCTTTTGTCAAAGTGACACCCTTGCTTGTATATATATTTTCCACAATGTTTTATAAATTATACTTGAGTTTTAGGGTGATACATTGGGCCCCTCTTTGCAATTCATAGGTCTTCGCTTTCGTACAATAAATGATGCTGTCCTATTTGAGGTTTTCTCGCGACAACACCCTTCAGGATCTCTTTAATGATTATACACCCGTATTAGGTGGCATATTATTGATTCTTGTTGTTCTTTGAGTTGGTGAAGACACCTTATGAGTCTTAGCCACGAGGAGAGGTGACATTTTAGGTGGCGAGTCCATCAAGATTTGTAAGACCAAATGCTTTGACCTTTAGGTATGTATGTTGGATCATTGTTTGTCTTTTCTCCCTTTATAGGTTCTTTTGTAACCACTCAATTCAGGTTTATTAAAGAAAGGTTCATATGTCATGTCGATTCTTCCTGTTATTTGGATTTTCTTGAATTTACTTTCATGGTGTTTGTCTTTCATGTCGCCTTGGATGAATAAATTTCTTGTTGGGGCGAGTCTCTCAAGCGTTTCTTGGATTTCTCTTGGTGAGGGTACATCTGTGATGGTTCTGCATCAAACGTCTTGTATTGCGACAAGGATCCCTATGTGAAGTTCCAACATTCAATAGCCTTGTGGGCAGCAAGGATACTTCATTGAAGCTCCAATATTCAATAGTCTAGTGGGTGATAAGGATATTTCATTAAAGTTATGACACTCAATAGCCTTGTGGGTGGAAATGATACTTCATTGAAGTTCCAACATTCAATAGCCTTGTTGATGGAAATAATATACTTCATTGAAGTTCCAACATTCAATAGTCTCGTGGGCGAAAAGGGTACTTCATGGAAGTCCCAACATTCAATAGTCTAATGGGAAAAAAGGGTGACAAGTTATTTTTTGCCTATGATTATCCCCAATGGGGAGACCAATGTACTTAAAGGGTAAACAATCAATTTTACAATTCAAACAGTCAACAACCTCTTTAAGCTAATCATGAGGGACATAATACCAATTAGCGAACTTTTATGAAAATTAACTTTGAAACTAGAGATTGACTTAAACAACTTTAACACGACTTTTAAATTTCTCACGTTCTACCAACTATTTTTTCCCGATAATCGTTGTGTCATATGCGAATTGAAGATGAAAAATATGCTCCTCATTAAGATATTAAAACCCTCTGTTGAAATTAGGAATAGAAGATGGAATAGAGGATCCCCTTCTGTAATGCCTTTCTCCTTCCTAAATTCTGAAGTTGTGCTTCTGTTGACTAAATAGAGACCCTTGCAGAATTGAAACAAGAGATAATTCAACTTCTCCATTTTTCATAAAATCCTATTTTCTCCATCACTAACCTCAGGTAACTCCAATTAATCAAATCTAAAGTCTTCTGAAAGTCCACTTTAAAGAGGAGAGTATCCTTTTTTCTCTTAACTATCTATGATATCATTTGCGATTAAGATTTCATTGAGGATTTGTCGAATGACAATGAAAGTAGATTGATTTTCCCAAATCACCCATCCTATCACCTTTTTGACACCTTTGATAAGATTTTGTATATGCATCCAATTAAAGAAATAGGGCGATAATACTTTAAAATTTAAGGGCAATTTATCTTAGGAATGAGAACGGTAAACAAATTATTGATATCTTTGACAAGTTTACCTTTGGAGTAGAATTCCTTTAACGTCAACATGAACTCAAATTTTAAGATCAACTAGAAACTTTTCACAAAGCTAAATTTTATGCAATTTGAATTCCTAAATCGTCACTCTAACCTCATCTTCAGAGAAGTCTCCTATAAATATTAAATTTCGCCGACCATTGATTTTTTTTTGAACTCACAATTTTCCATAAGAAGACCAGTTTCGATAGATTTAAATTGAGATTTAAAGTGCTAAAAGATCGGCTCTTTTACTTTACAAATTCTAGTTAAAATTTCCATGTTCACTATTATGCAAAGGATTTGTTTCTATTTATGTCTTCTATTCACAACTATATGGAAGAACTTTGTGTCTGCCTCTTTTAACCACTTGAATCAGGATCTCTGCCATTAAATACTTAAAAAAAAGGTTGGATAACATGTGTAGTTCTTAAAAAATACGTTTGTAGCATTGTGTAGAAGAGAAATAGAGAACTTCATGATTCAATTGCAACCATGCTACTCTTTTATTTGGCAAAGTGATAATTAAGACACAAAATACCTCTAAAAAAGACACATGTGAGCAAAGTAGGTTGAGGCAATTGAATATTTTCAAAAACATCATTTTTTTATATATTATAAATAGGGTGATGTTGTTGATTTAGATTAAATAAAACTGAATCACAAGAAAAACAGGTTTGTATTTAATCAATAAATAAAAATATATATAATTTTTAAAATTAAATAGTAGTAACAAATTTTATTATATTGAAACAAAATCGTAACTGAGAGTGATTCTATTGATTGGATTGGATAGCGTAGAATTTATTTAAATTTAGAAAATGAGATTGAATATCATAAAGAAATTTATCAATTTTTTAAAAATCCTCGAGTTTAAAATTAAATAATTATTGATTAACAATCTCATATCAACACATATAGCCCATTTGAAATCTGATTTAAATTTACAAAAATCTGATCGAGTATTATTGCTGCATTAACAAATGCCCAATGTTTTCAATTCAGACTGGCAATTTGAAATCAAAGGGTTAAAATTAATACTTGTCTCGATTGTTAACAAAACAGCCAATAAGAAATAAGCACACGGATCACAATTAATATTTCTTAATTAAAAAAACATCATGACCGTTGAAGTATTCAAATTCAAAGGCCACGATCTCTCATATTCATCCCTAATTAAACAGATTTAACTTTCAATTTCCCACTCCTATATAAAAGGCTTCCTTTCATTCTGTATTCTCATCACAGTTTCATTCTTGCAAAACCTAGTAATTGTAATAACTAATTTCTTTGCATTTTCTCTCTTATATCAATGGCTCGTACAAAGCAAACAGCTCGCAAATCTACCGGCGGCAAGGTTCCAAGGAAGCAACTCGCCACCAAGGCTGCCAGAAAATCTGCACCCACAACCGGTGGAGTCAAGAAGCCTCATCGTTATCGCGCTGGTACCGTTGCTCTTCGTGAGATTCGTAAATACCAGAAGAGCACAGAGCTTTTGATCCGGAAGCTTCCATTCCAGCGTCTTGTCCGTGAGATAGCTCAAGATTTCAAGACCGATCTGAGATTCCAGAGCCATGCGGTTCTTGCACTTCAGGAAGCAGCAGAGGCATATCTTGTTGGTTTGTTTGAGGATACGAATTTGTGCGCAATTCATGCTAAGAGGGTTACCATTATGCCCAAGGATATTCAATTGGCCCGCCGTATCCGCGGTGAACGTGCTTAGGGCACTATTACAATTTCGGGAATCAATTTTAGGGTTTTATTCTATTCATCTTTCTTTTATGCATTCTGTAGCTAGTTATTTGTTATCAATATATTATGATCATCTTTTGTAATAGACATACTTTGAATGATGAATAGTTTCTTTTTTGTGGACAACAGCTTTCTTCTTTCTCTTGACATTTTTATTTGAATACCCTATGAGTTTTTCTGTCCGAGTTATTTTCCATATGATCATCATCAAATAAAAAACTATGAATTTAATTGAAACGACCTTAATTACAATTAATTTTTTTTACACCTATGCATATCAATTAAATTAAAAAAAGAAGAAGCTATTTATCATGTTGAAAACATGTTAGCAAAATATTCGATGAATTAATGCTCAAATTTAAGATTTTTTTAATAACTTATTTACGTGCAAAAGTTTAAAGTTTTTGTTTTCCTCGGATAATCATAAGTGATTTAATCTTTTTAAAATTATAAAATAAATAATATAATTTTTAAAATTTTAATATTTTTACATAGTTTTACCATAACAACCTACAACAATGTCAGATGTGAAGTTTAATTCTAGTTGTCATCACTTTTTTTCTTTTTATCTATGAGAGAGAGAGAGAGGTGATTTAGGATCAATTTTGATTTAAAGTCACTTCTCTCAATTATTTGTTTTAAATAAATGATTTTCTCATATATTTAATGTTTCTTTTGTATTTTTTTTTTTGTAATTTTATCATTTTAGTGCGCCGTTGTTTATTTTGATTGCGTGTTTTTGTGTGGTGTATTTTGATTTATCGTCTTGTGCGAAGTATTTTATTTTCTTGTATGTAGTGCAGATCTAATCAATGACTTTAATGCTATTAACACTACAGATTTGAAGACATGAATATTTCATACATTTCAATACAATCATTTTTGTAGGCTTATGCAATTTGTCGTTTTATGATATTCACATAAATCACGATGCCAAACAAGACATTAGACAACGTTTTTTTTTTGCTTTTAACAGCGCCGCCTAAAGCAGCGCTGCTAAAAGTAAAGACAACACATTTTTTCAATGTAAAAGCGCTTTCTTATGCCCACTTTAGGCAGCGCTTTTACATTAAAAGCGCTTTCTTATGCACCCCTTTAGACAGCGCTTTTTTATATACCTATTTAACAGCGCTTTTTTATATACCCATTTAGCAACGCTTTTGCTTTAGACAACACTTTCTTTTAAAAACACTGTTTATTCCCCCATTTTAGACAACACATTCCCACTTTAGGCAGCGCTTTTTTTGAGTTTTTACAGCGCTTTTCTCTTAAAACGCTGTCTATTGGTCACATTTTTTTAAATAAATTACCTACTTTGGCTTACAAAAGTGCTGTCCAATATATATAATGCATTTTAATCAGAATTTTAACCATATTTGAACCAGGTTTTCACCATATTATGCACCATATTTGGTAGCTTCATTCCAATAAAATAGCATATATAAAAATTACACACACATATATATATATATATATATATATATATATATATATATATATATATATATATATATATATATATATATATATATATATATATATATATATATATATATATATATATATATATATATATATATATATATATATATATATATATATATATATATATATAAATTGATGATATATACAACAACAACTACAAAATTTATGATACAAGTTAAAATTCTACAAGTTAAAAATCCTAAAATTCAAAATTGATGTTACATCTACATCTTACTATCTTCGAGAATTCTCATGAAACAACAACATCATGAATATCTTAGCTCTATCTTCTACACATGCACCTATAAACTTGAAAAAAAAAACCAAATGATCGAAATTCATAACATGATAATATTAACGTTGCACTTTATTTGAATTTAATTTATACTCAAAACTCGAAAGTTCTCATCAAAGGAAATAAGACAATATACCTTAGCTTATAAAATTCTCAACCCGATAATGAATTGACACCATTCCTCCATAAGTTCATCCAATTGATCTTTTGAGTAATGTGCACAATTGAATTCCTCAAAGTACTACATATATAATAATATAACATAGTATGTGATTTAGTTAAAACAATATGTCATTTTATGAGAAACACAAAATATGAAAATAGTATGTAATTCCTAAGTTAGAAATCCATACCGTGGATGGAATCTCTAATCGATCCAAAAGAATAGTTTCTTTCATAAACCTCAACATGAAATAGCCGCAATCTATACCGTTATGCTGGCGAGGACACTACACATGGAAAGAAAATACGAATATATATCAGGATATACCCCTTAAATTATGAAAATATACCTCCACTTTGATCCATGTAACGTTGTTGGCTCTACTTTTTGGCACTTGAATATCTCTTTGGGAGCGCAAAGCTAGTAGAACGCTATAATAAAATATAAACGACTGTTTAGAACAATCTCACATAGAAACATAAACATAAACACAAATCCAGATATGTTGACCATAAACATAAACATAAACTTGAATATCTCTTTAGGAGCGAAAAACTTACGTGTCAATCATCTGCTTCAAATCTGGATATGTTGACCATTCATTGTATAACGAATCCAGATAATATACAGTTTCTCTCACAGGATTAATCACAACCAATAATTAGTGTCCACTGTAAGATTAAACAACGGCCAAAAACGGAAAATTATAATAAATCAAGTTAGGATGAAAATCTAACCCGTTGCCAGTATTATATGGCAAAAAGAACAATTTCTCAGTATCTTTGCTGGACACGAATAAACCGAGTACATATGCTATGACATCATCTGGTCTTGTTACGATTAACTCTGAATTGACATGTTGGAAGCTAAGAAGCCAAATCTTTCTTCTAATCCACGCGGGCGCACAATATTGTCATACATAAACCTTAAATTAAAACATCATTAACATTATACTATATTCATTGAAATGAGGAAATAAATTATTCATCTAATTAAACAAAGTTGATCAGAGTATACTTGATGTATGTACCGATAACACCGATGACTAATTCCAAATGTCTAAAAACTTGTTCCATATCCTCTCTACCAATTGCTTCCAGGTATTCAAAACCAAAGATGTCTGCACTCATAGGTATAAGGCGGGTACCACCATCCGGAATATTTGTTATTCCTAAATATATCCGAAGGCACGACCTAAACTGAGCAGTAGTTTTTTTTGCTAGCCACGGTCTTCTTAGCAACATTCTTTTTTTGTGTGGAAATATTGCTAATTTCAGGCGCTTTACCCCTACTGACTTGTGCAATCTCTTTAGCATGAATCTAGTTATCATATAATTAGTTAGGGGAAGTATAAAATCACAAATTAGCATTTCTCATAGCATAAATGTCATATAATTGTGTTGTACCTCAATTGATGCAATTGACTCGGTTTCCCGCCTAATCCCCTTATCTTTTGGAATGTATTTTGTTGGAGTCTAACATTACCATGTAAACAAAATGTAAGTAAAATCACCTTAAAAAATTTGAATAGTAACGATTTTAAGCATACCTCATTATCTACGCAAACGAGGCTTGACGACCATGCAACAAACGATCCTATTGCATCTGCCACCAATGTTGCATCCGCCACATCGTCAGGTAGTGGTAACAATGCACCTCCCTCTAAAGCAACATCAACTGATACTTTCCAAAATCCATTTGGGAGCGGTTTATGGTGAAGCATTTCTCCCGAAGTATTATACACTTTTCCCTTGCCAACCATCCGATAAGTCGGTGACGACAAATAGAGTTGACACCGAGAAATGCCCTATAATCATTAATAAATATGGTTATATAATTAATAAATATGCTTATATAATTAATAAATATGGTTATATAATTTATAAATATGGTATATAATTACCTCGGGAATATTCAGTCCAAAGTTACCAATGATACTACCTTTGTAACTAGTATCTTTAAAACCTGTATCTTGATCTATTTCTTTTTCCTTTCTTATCTCATAAACTTCTTGTTGTAACTTTTCCAACTTTTCCTGAAGTTCTTTATTTCTAAGAGCTTTTGTCTTTGATTTTTTCTTCAAGGATGTCAGAGTGATCCCAAATCCCTTACCCCTCACCCGACCAGAATACTCACGAATATCTAATGCTCGTGAGAGTATTCTCCTGCAATCATTATCTTCATCTAGAGGTATAGACTGAGAAAGAGTCTCCTGAAATTCATATAAATATTTTAATTAAAGAACGATATGTTAATAAAAGAATGATGTAATTAAATAAGTAAAAGTATAATATAATTAAACAAATAATGTTATACTTACACATCTCTCGAAAATTTGTTGAACTTTTTCTTCAACAACTCCATCCTTACACACACGGGCTTCCTTCCATAAAATGTGTTCCGGAAGAGATGTTTCAGAACTATTCTCATTTGTTAAGTACACATGAAGCCAAATAACATGATCAAATATAAGCGTGCATATATTATAGATACTTTGCAATTTATAGATACTTACAATAGATTGTTGTAAGCGTGCATATCCCATACACCCTTTTCTGCATGGATATGCTGGACTTAATGCTTGTTGTCGATTTATGACACTTAAACTCTCAAATTTCTGGGTATTTCTTTTGGATTTAAAAGTTTCCCATTCTTCAGGTGTAATCAAATCTGCATATTTATTTGGAAGCTATGCATCAACAAAATTTTTATCCACATCCCTAAGAAACTTGTTTGATAAAAAAGCTCTAAACCCTCTGTTGTACCCCAAAATTTTCCCTCTCATTTTATCAACATTTCTCATCACAAGACTCTTGGGACTCAAGACCAAGCTAGGGTTTGCTCTGTTCAAGACATCTCCTTGCACTGTTGACCTAAAATTAGGGTTTGAGTTTGCACAAGGATTCTTGGACCTTCAATGCCCAGAGTGACTTTAATACTTCATGTTGGACTCACAAGTTTGTCCATACCAAGTTTCAAGCCTTGAATCAAAATTTTGCCCAATCAATTGGACAGTTGACCTAGAAAT